TATCTAGTTTAAAAAAAAAAAAAAAAAAGGTCTGCATTGAGAAGGATGCTCTTTTAAGAACCACCTATATGGGATCAAATTGACAACAGCCACTAGAAAGATTAGATAGGAACCTTTGGGGGCAGTGAGTTTATGTGACAGGGGAGGAACAACTCAGAGAAGGAGGATGAGAATGTCCTCAAAGAATGTCATCAGTGTCAGTAAATTGCACATGTAGAAAAGTTGAATTGTGTGTGTTTTGTTGTGCATATTGTCAACAACAACAAACGTAATACAATTTTAAAAAGAATGACACTAACTGTAGGTTTTTATAGATGCCGTTTATCAGATTGAGGGCAGAGCTTTTTCTTAATTTTCTTTTTCAGATTTATACCAAATGTAAAGCACAGTGCTGACATTGACTAAGAGCTCTATGGAATGAATGAATGAGTATAAGCTGCTGCACAATGTCCAGTAACTTGGCATTGGACTTGACATTTATTAGCTGGGTGATTTAGGACAAGTGATGTAAGCTCTCTCTGCCTCATCTGTAAAATTGGAATATTTCCTTTTTTTTTTTATTAATTGTGATTTGGATGAAAATTTACAGAGCAAATTCACTTTCCATTCAGCAGTTCACATATACTTTGTCTCATGACATTGACCACAATTCACCACAATGCAACGGCTCCCCTCCCACTTCCTCCCGACAGTCACCTCTTCAAAATGGGGATATTTGTGACACCTGGGGCACAGGGTTATTTTGAGGATTTAATGAGAGAAACTCATATAAAGCAACAGTGCATTGCCTGACTCATGAATAACGTTCTGAGTTGGCTTTTATTACCTCACCTTTTTCCTCTATGAAATAGGGAACACCCTCAGCCTTGGTTCCCAGGGTTACCATGAGGATTGAATGACCCAATGCACAAAACATCCCTAGCATAATGCTTGACAAAGGGAAAGCCATCAACAAATGTTTGCTATTATTTTTCTTACTGAATCTCTGCCTGTATTGGGTTAGGGGTCCTGAGATGAGTCAGTCAAGTTCCCAGGCTGATGGCAGAGATATGTATAGCAGTACGGTGGACTGCTAAAAGGACAAATCTGTCCTGGAAGAAGTGCAGCTGGAATGCTCCTTGGAAGTGAGAATGGCCAGACTTCGTCTCACCCACTTGGGTCATGTTTTCGGAAGGGACCATTCTCTGGAGAAGGAGGTCATGCTTCGTAAATTGGAGGGTCAACTAAAGTGGGGAAGGACCTCAACAAGATGGATTGACCCAGCGGCTGCAGCAATGGGCTGGGGGACGAGGTGGGAGAAATAGTTTTCATTACATCCTTTTTGTACCGTTTGCATCTTGTATCACGTTCAAAATATTTAGAAAAGTAAATAAATTTTAAAGTAAAAAATTATGCCATGGAAAAACATTCAATGCCACAGGGAAATGTATGTGGGAGAATTTATCATTTTATATCTCTATGGATAAAAGAGTGGATAGAAATACAACATAATATTTCGGAAGAAAGGTTGGGCAATCTACTTCCGTAGTGATACTGCCTCGGAAACCCAAGGAGGGGTCGCTATGAGTCAGGTCTGACTTGACCGCACATAACAATAACAACAAGATGGATAAAAGAGTGGACAGAAATACAACATAATATTAGCAGTAGCACTTATTGGTGGCATTAATAGTGAGTTGTACTTTCTTCTCTGGACTCTAAGATTTTGCAAAAGTTTTATGTTGAGCGCCGCTTTTTGTTTTGGCGATGACTCAAAACTACAAGTCCCAGCAGACATCGCGCCAGAGGCTCCCAAGACAGAACTTCCTCAGACGCAATGATCGCTGGGATTCGTAGTCCCGCGGCAGAGGCAAGGTGGGACGCGCACTGCCGGCATAATACAGAGGAGGGAACCATCTCCATTCTAACCAATGGATATTGCTCACCGGGTCTGAGTGACAAGTACATAACCAATACTGGAACCTTGAACTTGAGTGACGTGGGTTTCAGCCTACAAGAGGCTCCTGGGGCGGGGCGACTCGCGGCGGCCGTAGTGCGAACCATGGGAGGTGGCTGGTGGTGGGCTCGGGTCGCCCGCCTGGCCCGACTCCGCTTCCGGGGGCCGCTGCTGCCGCCACCGCGGCCCCGAAGCGGGGGTTCCCGGGGGTCCTTCGCACCCGGCCACGGTCCCCGCGCTGCGGCTTCGCCGCCCCCCGTGTCGGACCTAGATCGTGCAGACGCCTGGCTCCTTCGGAAGGCGCATGAGACAGGTTTGGGGTAGAGGCTGGGGTCAGTCCAGATGACAGCGGGGAGGCCGAGTGACTGAGTTGGGGCTGGGTCGGGGCGTCTGCGGGAAGCAAGGCGGGGAATCCAGTGGGAGAAGGGCTTCCGTGTAAACGCAGGACTCGCTGACTGCCAGCTCGCAGCCTGTCGGGATGGAAGGGGTTGAGGATTACAGTGGGTCCGGGTTGGCAGGATGCACCGGAGATTGCAGAGGTGGGTCCGATGAGGGAAGGTAGACTGACAGAACTGGGCCAGTCTAAATAAGAAAAAGGCTTTCGTGGAGCTGAGGGCGGGGGGAAGCCGCCTACAAGAGGATCCGCGTTGCAGAGGCCAATTCGGATAGAAGGGCCACCACTCTGCATAGGAGGGCGTGTTGATCCCACCGAAGAAGAGGGAAGTTTCTGATTGGAGGAGAGAACAACCAATAGGAGAGAAACTGTCCGCTGATAGGACGGCATGATGATCCGCTTCAGGAGGCGGGCCTTCGTGGGAGCGAGTCTTGTTTAGCCAGCACAGGGCGTCTGGCGGGAAGTCGCTATAGGGGTTATAACAGGACTAGCCTGTTAGCTCCACACCAGGGTCTTGGAGATAGGATTGAGGGAGGAGATGGGGTTCTGGTAGGAGACTGTAGTATTTGAGGAAAGGGGCAGGAGAAGACTAGACAGAGGCCAGGGGTATGGGAAAAGTTTGTTCCACTGGCCTGAGGAAAAAAAAAAAAAAGATAATCTCTTGTGGGTTTCCCTGTCCTCGGACTTAGATTCTGCAGTTTTACGCTAAACTGTCTCCCAGCGTCTGTCCAGTTGGTGTTGCAGGGTTTGGGAGTGAGGGGCGCAGAGGTGCGGGGAGGATTCGAGGGATGAGGTCAGCTGAGGGCTTTGGGGCTGGGTGGGAGGAGGGAGGAGGCCTCTCCGCTTGGCTGTCTCTGAGGTTGTGGGAGGCAGCGTTTGGGCCATGCCGAAGCCCCTCCCCATCTCTCCCTCCCGCCAGCCTTCCTCTCTTGGTTCCGAAATGGCCTCTTGGCCTCAGGCATTGGGGTCATCTCCTTCATGCAGAGTGACATGGGTCGGGAAGCAGCCTACGGTGAGTACACACCCCCATTTACACCTCTCATCCACCCCACCTCGACCTCATGGGCACATCTGAGAACAAAGTGCCAGTCCAGGGCACGGCAGTGCTCTGCCCACCCTAATCCCTAACTTCTCAGGAAGAGTGAAGGCCCTAGTCCCAGCACCCCATACGGGCCCTGCCCTTGCAACCCCATTTTTGCTCTCACCAGCCCCCCACGCCGTCCTTTGGTCCTGAGCTCCAGGAAGATGGCTGGAGGCCAGTGTGTGTGTGCACGCACACGCACACCTCCCAGCCCTGTTTCCCCATCTCTGGAATGGGGCTGGGCTCAGCAGTCTGGACCTGTGGTTCTTAGCCGGGTGGTTTTGGCAAGTCCTTATTCTCGGATAGCCTCTCATGCCCTTGACCCTGGCTCTGTATTAGTCCCGACCTAGACCTTACCTCATTTCCTTCCTAGCCCCAACTCAGCCCGACCCCACCTGTGACCTCTTGAACTCTTTGCACAGGGCACCCTCAGGCCTCTGTCTGTCCACCCCCTTCCCCACCCTTAAAGCCCCAACCTTGCACCAGGCCTTCCCCGCCCCCTGAGGCTCCGCCCTCTCCCCACAGGCTTCTTCTTATTGGGCGGCCTGTGCGTGGTGTGGGGCGGTGCCTCCTACGCCGTGGGCCTCGCGGCGCTGCGGGGACCCATGCAGCTCTCTGTTGGGGGCGCAGCCGCAGGAATCGGGGCCGTGCTGGCGGCCGGTCTGCTCTGGGCCTGCGCAGTCGGTCTCTACATGGGCCAGCTGGAGTTGGACGTGGAGCTGGTGCCTGAGGACGAGGGGGCGGCTGCCGCTGAAGGCCCGGACGAGGCCGGCCGGCCACCGCCCGAGTGACTGTGTCTACTGGCCCTGGGTGCTGGACGGCTCAGAGCCTGCAGACCGAGACATTAAAACCTAACCCTTCCCTTCTCCAGTGGTGGGGCGTGTTCTGTAGGGGAGGGTGACGCGGAGCAGGAGGGGACGGCTGGGGTGGGATATGTGACCAGAGGTGTCAGAAGGGTAAAAGGCACTCGCAGCCCCCAGGGGCTGAGCCGACGGGAGGTGGAACGGCATTTAATTCTCCAGGGTGCCTTGCCCCGTCCCCCAGAGTCCGGCGCTGTTGCCTGCTCTCAGTCCCCCTTCTGATGTCCCCTGGTGCCTGTGGACCCGGGGTAGGGCAGGCCCAGGGCAGGGTAGAAGACCTCGGGGCGAGCAGGGCCGGGGCCCAGCCTCTGCAGGTGGGGGTACATGAGGCTTAGCTCCGTGGGGCCGTAGCGGATGGTGCCTGGGGTGCACAGACCCCGCATGGTGGGGGGCAGGAAGCTCGCGTGGAACAAAGACGGTAGGGGCTCCCCGGGAGGTGCCAGGCTCCATGGCTGCACCACCGCCGGCTTCAGGGCACCCGCCCGGATGACAGACGTGAACTCAGGCTGTGGCAGGGCCGGGGGACCGGTCGGCATCTCGTCCTCACTGTCCTCGGGGTCTTTAGTCTCCCCTCGGCCAGGTTCCACTTTTATGCGTTTTCCTTGGGCCTGGGGGGGCTCGTCTTTGTCCTGGGGTACAGTCTCTTTTCCATCCACTGGAGAGTCTAGCTCTGGAAGAGGAAGATTGTGGAGAGCACAGTGTGGGTGTTCCCAGCCCTCAGTCTTCCCATCTGAGGTTTGGGCCAGGCTTAGTGGTTGCACGCTGGTTCTTAGCTGGGGGCTGTTTTGCACAGTGATTAAGCACTGACTGCTCACCAAAGGGATCTCTGGCGGTGTAGTGCCTAAGGCACTTGACTGCTAACCAGAAGGCTGGCAGTTCAAACCCACCAGCCACTCCTCGGAAGGAAGATGGGGCAATCTACTTCTGTAGTGATACCACCTTGGAAACTCAAGGAGGGGTCGCTGTGAGTCAGGTCCAACTGGATGGCACATAACAACACCACCAACAGCTCACCAAAAGATGGCAGTTTGAACCCACCAGCCACTCTGCCGGAGAAAGATGTGGCAATCTGCTTCCAAAAGATTATAGCCTTGGAAACCCTGTGGTGCAGTTCCACTCTGTCCTCTAGGGGCGCTGTGAGTCGGAATCGACTGCACTGCAGTGGAATTGGTTTGGGCTTTGCTTCTGAAAATGTTGACAGCCTTGGAAACCCTGTGGGGCAGTTCCACTCTGTCCCCTAGGGGCGCTGTGAGTCAGTATCCATTCTAACAATGGGTTTGGTTTGGAGATATTTTCAATTGACACATCTGTGGCAAGGGGCTGGGGTGCTCCTGGCATCCAGTAGGTGGACAGCCTCAACAAGAAAGAATCCTCTGGCCCCAAACGCCATTTGAGCCAGGATGGAGAAGCCTAGACCTGGGCTGCTCCGTGACAGTGGAAACATTCTAGATCTGTGCTGACTAGTGTGGAAGCCACTGGCCATATGGGGTTACTGAGCCCTTGTAAGTGGCACATATAACAAGGAACTGAATTCTTCCTTTTATTTTCATTTAGAGGGAGACACCTACATGTGGCTGGTGGCTATGGGCTGGACGACTGAGCTTTGGACGTCCCTCGGAGCTTCCCTGGGATGGAGGTGGGAGGTGGAACTCACCTCTGGGCTCTGGCTCAGGGCTGGATGCATCCTCAGAGGCTGCCCTGGCCAGAAGCTGGAAGGTGTCCAGAGGTGTTTGGCCCCCCTCGGCTTGGCTGGGGACAAGACAGTAGTTGGGGTTGGGTGCGTGGGGTCCTCAAGCTGCCCATCCTTGGGGGAGAGTAGACCCATTCCTGCCCACCCCTCCCCTAGCAGTGAGCACAGAGCCCCTCACTCACCCCCACTGGTGAGTGTAGACCACCCACCGGGACACAGAATCCTTTCCTCACTAGGGAGTATCGATACACCCCACTGGGGTGCACCCCCTCCCTGAGGCACTGAAGGCCCATCTTGTCCCTTTAGTTCCCCTTCTACACAGTAGCCAAAAAATGTGACTGCATCCACCTCCAGCTCTAAAACCTTCCATGGCTCCCCAGTGCCCCTGGAACAGGAGGCTGTGCCAAACCTGCCCTCTCTCTTGGGCACCCACCCAGTGGCCTCCTGGGTGTCCCCTGGGCACTCCTCGCTCACCTCACCTCAGTCCCTTCCTCCCAACCCTGCCTCTCTGCTCAGGGGCCCAAAGCCAGGCCCAGCAAAGCCAGAGACCTGGGCCGCAGGTGGCCTTCGCCACCCCCCTCTCAGAGCCTGTCATGGCCCAGGACCTGCCCATTCTTCCTAAGCATCTGACAGCCTTGCCTTGACTCAAGGCCATCCACATCTCCTCAGGTACCTGCCCCAGCCGCCTCCCTGGCCTTCCGGCCGCCATCTTGTCCCCTCAGTCCCCCCTCTAAACGGCAGCCAGAGTGGTCAAGTGTGACAGTCTCCTATAGCTCTAAAGCCTTCCATGGCTCCCAGTGTCCCTGGGATAAAAGGCCGTGCAAGAGAGCTGGCCCTGCCGTCGCCCTCTGCCACACCGCGCATGACTTCATGTCCCTGCCCCATACGTGACCTTCAGTTTCTCACTGGGTCAGGCTCTTGCTCTGTGTCCTCTGCCCAGGACCCCTTCCCCACCTCTACTGTCTTTCCATGGGTTGCCCCACTCTGTGGCCTTCCCCTGGCTAGCACCTGCTAGGGCTCCCAGTGCCCTCAGAGTCATGGTCAACCGTCCACTGGGGCCTAGCACTACCATGAACTGCCCCCTGCCGCGCTCACAGTATTGTCCGCTGGGAAGAGTCTCTGCCTCCTCCTAGCCTCCAGGCCTTTGTTTCCCCGGTACCCTTCCCCACCGTGTTTTCACACCCCTCTCTCAGGTGTGTCCTCCCCAAGGAGCCCTCACCCTGAGAAGTGGGTCGCAGCCCCGTGGGAGGGTGGCCGTGGCCCTCACCTAAGCACATGGCTGACCCAGAGCACATGGCGCTCTGCCGTGTTCTTGCCGCTCACGGCCACCGTGGCCACCGACTGCAGCCACACGAAGCCCCCGGCACGCTGCAGCCACCGGTAGTAACCTGTGGTCACCTGACCCTTGTCCAGCACTGGGTCCGGCCCAGGGACAGGGAGAGACCAGAAGGAATGGGGTGGGGATGGGATGGGGGTGACAGGTGAGAGAGAAGGAAGAAAGATAGGCAGACAGGTAGAGGGGGGGACAGGCGAGCAGGAAACCGGGAAACAGGGTGAGAGTGAGGGGAGAGAGAGGGAAAAGTAGAGTCAGGGAGACTGACAGACTGACGCTGGCTTCGCAGTCTTTAAGGATCAGCCTCCCTTATGTCCTCCCACTTCCGGAGCCACTGCTCAGCCTCGTGCTGAGATGTGCCCTGGGGCTGGAGGTGCAGCAGGAGAGACTACAGTCAGCCCCAAAGAGGGACTTCCGGAGACTAGCACATTGGGGATGCCGGGGTCTGCAGTGAGGATAAGCTGGGGAGAGGGGTGTTCTCACGGTCCAGGTGGCTTTGGCGGATTCTGGCCGCGTCCTGGCCGTGGACGAACTGGTAGCAGCTGCGGCCCACCAGCTCTGAGGGCCCCAGGTCCATGTGGTCGCTGACTCTGAGGGCAAGAGGTGACAAGAAGAGAGGAGAAGGGGTCCGAGGCCAGGGCGTAGGGGACAAGCGGCAGAGTCTGCTGGGAGTCACCGGGGGCTCTACCCCTGGTGGTGGGGTGTTCCGGGCCTCAGTTTCCCCCTCTGTAAAAAGGGAGTCATAAGAGCGCCCCTTCCTCGGGTGGTGGTGTGCATTCAAGCTTTCTGGGGGTGCTCGGCGTGGGGGCCGTTTGCCCACCCCGAAGCACCACAGACAATGGGTGAGCAACGCGAGACGAGATGAAAAAAAGAGTCCAAAGGGGCGGGGCTCCGCAGAGGCGCCCCCAGGAGGGAGGGTTTGGATCCGCCCTGTCCCCTAAGAGCGCAGCTCCCTTGCGCACTCGCCCCGCCCCGGCTCCCTGGCCTTCCCCACGCGCCCGCTCGCCTGCACGCTCCCATCCCTCGGCCTCCGCCCCCGGTACCTGCTCTCACAAGCGAGGATGGTGAGACCCAGGCTGAGGCGGAAGACAATCGTATGGCCGTGCAGCGGCAGCTCAGCCAGCGGGGCGGGAGGCAGCGTGTGGCCAAGCGCCACGAGGCCCAGAGCGCGGGCCCGAAGGCGCCCGGTTACGTGGATGACCTGCCGGCGGTGGGTGTGGTTGGAGAAGGGGCGGCGGGGGTGGGTGGGCACACCAGACCCAGGCCACCAGGCAGGTCCCGGAAGTTCCACCAGTTCCTTGGGCACGGGGCCATGCTGTGGGGCTTCCCCAGGGCTAGAGGCTCCTAGAAGCCACAGTCACCGGTCTGCTTGCATGGGACACCTTGGGCGCAGCGCACGGCTGGCAGGCCCGGGCCACCAGGGGATGTGTGAGCCCGAGGCCAGGACCAGAGAAAGCACACCCACCTTGTACCCCGAGGCCTTGACATGCAGCCCTCGCTTGGTGAGGGTGGATTTCATTCGGATGAAGAAGGAGAGGTCCTGGGCGCGGGAGGACCGGGGCACCTGGGCGGGGCTGGCCTCTGCGGAGGGGAGCCGAAGAAGGATGCCGAGTTCTAGAGAGCCAGCCAGATTTGGGGGACCCACAGGCCTGCCACGCCCCCTCAGTCACACTTCAGGGTCCTGCAAGCTCACTGACGTCACTCACTCACTCACTCCGTTCAGTCAGAGCACAGGGCCCTTTCTAGCTCGGATCTGACTCTGCTTAGAACCTGCTGTGGCTCCCAAGGCCTCTTGGGAGAAAGCTGCTCTTCACTGTTGTTAGGTGCTGTCAGGTTGGTTTTGCGTGTGGCCCAGTTCCCTAAGTTCCATGGATCACCCTCGTGCACAGAGCATAGCAACCCCATGTGACAGACTAGAGCTGCCCCATACTTTACTTATGATCTTTACGGGGACACATGGCCAGGTTTCTCCCACAGAGCCACTGTGGGGCTTCAAACTGCCCACCTTGCAGTTCACAGCCAAGCATGTTAACCAATGTGCCACCAGGGCTCCTTTTCAGTTCTTCACCACAACTTTAGCAAGATCTGCCTCCTGCCGATACCATCTCTAGCTACATCCTCCAGATCTCAGCTGAGCTGTCTCCTCCAGGAAGCCCTCCCTGACTGCCAGGCTGGGGCAGTCACCTCCTTGGGGCTCTCTCATCCCGGCCCCTCAAACTCTGTGTTCTCACTGTCTGGGGACAGGTCTGTCTCCCCACTGGACGGGCAGTCTCAGGAGGGCAGGGCCCAGCTGGGTTAGTCACTACATTATCTCCAGCACCACCCTACATGGGTCCAGACTCAGAGCAGAGGCTCGGAGATAGCACCAATAAGACTTAGGAATACAGATATTTTTGTAAACCCATCATGTTGTGGGTGTCTTCCAGTCCGTTTTGATTCATAATGACCCCAGGTAAACGGAGTGGAACTGCCCCCTAGGGTTTCCTAGGTTGTAGAACTCTATGGACGCGACTGCCACCTCTTTCTCTGGGAGAACCACCAGCGGGTTCGAACCTCCAACTTTTTGGTTAATAGCCGAGAGCTTTAACCACTGCACCACCATGGCTCATTCACAATATATAACAAATAATATAGAATATGCAATATGCAGTCTAAACCTGTTGCGAGTCCATTCTGACTCACAGCGCCCCCAGAGGACAGAGTGGAACTGCACCAAAGGTTTCCAAGGCTGTCAATCTTTACAGAAGCAAAGCCCAAACCAAACCACTGAAGTAGAGGATTCTGAGTCACAGCGCCCCTAGAGGACAGAGTGAAACTACACTATTGGATTTCCAAGGCTGTCAGTCTTTAAAGAAAACCAAAGCCAAATCAAACCCATCCAGTCAATTCCCACTCATAGTGACCCCCTTTGGGTTTCCAAAGTGGTAAATCTTTACAGAAGTAGTCTGAATCACAAACCTGCTGGTTAGCAGTCAAGTGCCTTTAGGCACTATGCCACTAGAGCACCTCATCTTTACTGAAGCAAAGTCCAAACCAAACCCACTGTGACTGAGTCCATTCCAACTCACAGCACCCCTAGAGGACAGAGTGGAACTGCCCCGTAGAGCTTCCAAGGCTGTCAATCTACTGAAGCTGACTGCCACCTCTTTATCCCACGGAGCACACTACCAACCTTTCAGTTAGCGGCTGAGCCCTTAACCACCGCACCTCCAGGGCTCCTTTCAGAGCTCATACCAAAAAAAAAAAAAACCCACCAAAATCACTGCTATCGAGTCGATTAGACTCATAGCGACCCCTCTTTGTGTTTCCGAGGCAGTATCACTACAGAAGTAGATTGCCCAATCTTCCGAGGAGTGTCTGGTGCGTTTGAACCGGCAGCCTTCTGGTTAATAGTCAAATGCCTTAGCCACTACACCACCAGAGCTCCTACCTTCACAGAAGCAAAGCCCAAACCAAACCCAGTGCCTGGAGGGGATTCTGACCCACAGCGCCCCTAGAGGACACAGTGGAACTGCACCACAGGGTCTCCAAGGCTGTCAGTCTTTATGGGAGCAAAGCCCAAACCACACCCACTGGAAGCAAAGCCCAAACCAAAGTCACTGCCATTGACTTGACTTGACTCATAGCGACCCCTCCTTGGGTTTCCGAGGCAGTATCACTACAGAAGTAGATTGCCCAATCTTCCTTCTGAGGAGTGGCTGGTGGGTTTGAACCAGCAGCCTTCTGGTTAGTAGTCAAATGCCTTAGGCACTACACCACCAGAGCTCCTAGAGGCTAATAAATACACACACATTGATGACCCCAGACCCCAAACTTAGGTGCAAACACAGTTGCACTCTCAAACAATCCCACATACTTGGTCACAGTTCCCCAAGTTTGCAAGCACCATTGGTATCTCAGATGGTTTTGGGTTAAGCAAACCCCATATAGGAAATTCTATGTATGGCAAAATTAACCATAGAGACTCCAACCGTCTCCGAGCTAAGGGAACATTAAGACTCATTGCAGACCCCTCCCTTGCCAACAGGCCAGTGTAATTTCCCTCTGGAGCCAGACAAGCTTGAGTTCAAGCCCAACTCAGCCACTTGTAACTGTGTGACCTTGGGCAATCAACTTAACCTCTCTGTTCTATGCCTCAGTCTCCTCCTCTGTAAACATGGAGATAATGGCTTCTACTTTGTAGTGTTGTGGTGAGGGTTTGGTCCTGACTCATAGCAACCCCTTCTTGGGTTTCCCAAATGGTATCACTACAGAAGTAGATTGCCCAGTCTTCCTTTCCAGGAGTGGCTGGTGGGTTTGAACCGCCAGCCTTCTGGTTAGCAGTCAAATGCCTTAGGCACTATGCCACCAGAGCTCCCACGTATTTACAGGTGCAAGACAATGCAAAGGCCAGTAAGCTTGCATTCATTATTCCCACAGCCATCCCCGTTCCGCAGCCAGAGGGGTCTTTCTAAAGCTCAAATCTCGGGGATCCCGGGAGTCTTACAGAGCTTAGACAATTTTTGGGAACCATGATTCTGATTCGTTTTATAAAAACTTGCTTTGCGCAAGTTTTTGTCTAAGTGAGGCATGGCCGTACTTAGCATACCCCACTCTCCCTGACACACACTCAGGCCTCATTTCTGGGGGCCCTTGGAATTACCGATCTCAGGGGTCTCTGCAAGTGAGGAGGAAGAGGAGGAGGAGGAGGAAGAAGAGGAGATAGAGGGCGGGGTGGGGGGCCCAGGCGTGGGCGCCTGCAGCCCCAACTGTTCCAGCACCTCGGAGTGGTCCCCGGGATGGATGTAGTCGAAGACGCTGCTTCCCGTCAGCTCCACCTGCCGGCGATGGAGGGAAATGCAAGGGTGAGGTGCACGCGCAGTCACTCATTCGCCCGCCAGCCTCAGGCGCACTCTCCTCCACGCAGGCGCCCTTCATGCGCACTTCATTTTTATTAGATTTTCTTTCTTTCTTTCTTTTTTTAAGGAGTATACAAACTTTGGGAGCTCTGGTAGCATAATGGCTAAAGCACTTGACTGCTAACCAGAAGGCTGGCGGTTCAAACCCACCAACCACTCCTCGGAAAGAACGTTGGGCAATCCTACTTCCATAGTGATACTGCCTCAGAAACCCAAGGAGGGGTCGCTATGAGTCGTGGCCGACTCGACAGCACAGAACAACAACAACAACATACAAACTTTGGTTCTTTCGGTTCCCTCCTGACCTCATGTTGTTGTTGTTATGTGCTGTCAAGTCAGCCGGACTCATAGTGACCCCTCCTTGGGTTTCCGAGGCGGTATCACTACGGAAGTAGATTGCCCAACCTTCCTTCCAAGGTGTGGCTGGTGGGTTTGAACCGCTAGCCTTCTGGTTAGCAGTCAAGTGCCTTAGGCACTATGCCACCAGAACTCCGGACCTCATACCCCGTGAATATTCAGGAATTTTTGCCCCACACCTACTCTTAGCTGCGTAGTTGGATGGACTTTCCCAACTCTGACGGCCCCACGCAGCAAACAACTGTGCCCTGACATGAACCTCCAGGCGTCCCAGCTGGAATGAACTCCAGATACAAGCGATGGAATGGCTTCCAAACTCAAACCCATAAATCAGGTATCGACTTCCCAACTCTCCTGGAAGGAGCCCCCTTCTTTCCACTCTGTCCTCCAGGCCAGACCCCCATCTTCTCCTCACTTTGTTCCTACCCGGGTTCCTCACTGGCCTTCGGACCTTCAGTGTCTCCTCCCCACTCAAACCCTCCCACTAATTACTCAGCTGACTATGTCCCTCCTCCTCTCAGACACTTCCCATGGCTCCCCCTGCCCCTTGGCTTAGGGCCACATGCCTCTCTCTCACCTCATCCCTCTGAACCCCTCCTCCTCAGGAAGCCCTCCCCCACCCCACCCCCTGCCTTGGTCCAGGCTCCAAACCTTTCTTCTCTAAGTCCTCTTCCCTCCACTTGTCCAAATTCCCCTTCCTTCAGGGTCTTCCTCCCAGAAAACCCTATTAACTCACTGAAAAACTGTTCACACAGGCCAAACGACCACTTCACTGAGTTTCCCCAGTTTCCCAGTTACCAAATATTTGTGAAAGCTATAAAAGTAAACCACAGTTTGTCCTGAATGGATTGGCAAGGCCTAAGATGTCACACTCGTGGGTCTGTGGTAGCATTCTCGCCATCAGTCCGGGAGACCAGGGTTCAATTCCCGCCCAACACACCTCACGCACAGCCACCAGCTCTCTGTGAGTGGAGGCTGGTGTGTTGCCATGGTGCTGAACAGGTTTTAGTGGAGCTTCCAGACTGAGAGACCAGGAAGAAAGGGCTGGCAATCAGCTGTCCCAAATCAGCCAGTGACATCCTAAGGATCATAACAGTCTCAGCAGCAACTAGTTTGTTCTGTTGTATGGGGGGCTGGCTAGATGGCCAGCTAACAGCAACATGTCCCAAGAACTCAGAACCCCAGAGGAAGGGGCTCCAAGCTCTTAACTCTTCAGCCACCAGCTGCCAGGAGCTAGGGCTGAGGAGGGCACAAACAGCAGCCTGAAACAAAGACCTAGTGTAATCCAAGCAATTAAAATAGTACTGAAATTTTCTTAAACTGGCAAAACCCAAACCCTTCTAATAGGAATTGCTGCAAACCTTTGGAATGATTGAAAAGAAACACGTTTTGGTAAACGGGTAAAGATGAAACATTCAGCCAACCAGTCACTGGCCAATGGATCTTTCTGCAAACTTGCTGTCCTCAAATTGGCCTGCTACCCCTTACCCTCCTCTGCCGGTGAGGATGGAGGGTTTTAGGGGATGCATGTTGGGAACCACAGACCCAGTTTGCTTTTCCAGCTGGGAGGGTGAGGAAAGCATCGGGCCAAAGAGGGAATATGGCCGCTGGGGGCCCCTTACCTGTGAGAGGCCCAGGTAGATGGAGACAGTTTCGGAAATGTACAAGAATTTTCCCTCCTGATTCAAGACGAAGACGAAGCCGTCCAGGGACTAGAGAGGGGAGAGACAGGGAGGGGGCAGGGGAGGGCCTGGGGTCCATCTGTCCGGCTGACAAGCAGGAAGAGAGGTTCTGACATACGGGAGCCTGGGAGGGCTTGTTCTGGTGGGGAGGGGGCTTCCCGGGCCTTCGGAGGGAGGGCAGGGTGGATGCGGGCGGCCGCCCAAGAAGAGGATGCAGTTCCCCAACGGCGGCCACCAGGTGGCAGCAAGGAGCAGCAGGCAGGGATGGCGCCTCACCTGTAAGATGTGTCCTCCCAGGTGTTGCTCAAAGACTTGGGAGACCAGCGCAGCGGAGGCCCTGTGGGCTGGGGCTAGGGCAGAGCAGAGAGGGTGAGGCCGGGCCCAAGCCTGCAGGAAGCTACCCTACAATCTCCCCCTTCACCCCTGCAGCCTTGTAGCCACTTTGACATATTGCGGGGGTTAGGGTCCCCGGGTATGGGGAGGGGTGACGTGGGTGTGGGCAGGGGCAGAGGTGGGAGGGAGGGGAAAACAAACAGAGAAACTGAGGCACACAGGGGCAGAGAGGCCGACCAGGAGATGCAAAAAGGGATTCATGCATTCACTTAGTTTTCATCCACCATCATCGATCCAGGAAATTACGCCCTGAGCACCTTCTGCGTGGCAGGCTCTGTAATGCGGACACAGAGGTGACCAGGACAGTCCTGACCCTGCCCTCATGGTGCCCTCAGGCCAACAAGCCTCATTCTCGAATGAGAATCGTCATTGGTGGCCAGCGCTAGAAAGAAACACAGGTGATGTTTATGCCACGTGTAGGATGATGGGGCAAGAACTGTCAGAGAGAGGGCATTTGAGCTCACACCTGCAGGCTGAGGAGGAGGCAGAGAGGGACCCGACGGGGCAGAGACGGACGGACAAAGACACAGAGAGAAATGAATGGAGAGAGAGACATGGACACACACAGAAATAAGCATGGAGATGATATAAACCCGTGGCTGTCAGTCCACAGACTCAGGGTGACCCCACGCGGTACAGAACAGAACTTCTCCGTAGCGTTTCTTGGCTGTGATTTTTAGGGAAGCAAACTGCCAGGCCTTTCTCCTGCGGCAGCCCTGGATGAGTTCAAACTCCCACCTCTTAGGTTAGTAGTCCAGGGCAAACCATTTGTACCACCCAGGGGCTCTGGAGACAGAGAAAGACACAGAAAAAATGGGACCGAGACAGAGAAAGGGTGTTCTGGTTCCCTAGTGCTGCTCTGACAGGAATATACCACCAATGGGACGGCCTTAACAAACAGGAGTTTATTCTTACAATTTGGAGGCTTTAAGTCTAAGTTCAAAGTGCCAGGCTCTAGGAGCTAGGTGAAGGCCCCTCAACCTTGGGGTCCAGCTCTGCCTCCTGCTCCCGGCCCACTGGAGCTAGAGGCGTTTCTTCACTCAGACAGCTGCTGGCTGCTGAGGCTGAGAAGCCACAAGGTTGACAAGTGAAAAGGCACAGTCCCGATGTTACCAAACCACACAGCAGGCCATTAACTTAAGTCCATTGTAAGTCCCAAGGTCGGCAGAGCATAGCAGGTGACACGGCTACATGCAGGGTCCAAGCGTGCCACAGGCTGGAGACCATTCCCAAGGCTTCTCCTTATACACAGGAAGCAGACCACATCCCTAAGGCAGCTACTCAGCTGCTTGTGGTAGATCCCACCATGGAGTTGCTTGCCAGTCTCATCACGGGGAATAACTACCACCAGCTGCCCAGCCACTCAACCAGGCCCAGCCACGTTGACATACAAACATAACCACCACAGAGGGGTTGAAAAAAGACATAAAGAGATGGAGAGACAGGAAAAGACACAGAGACACAGACCGAGAGCTAGAGCGGGAGTGATGGGGAGACAGAGATGGGGGATGAGGCAGAGACGTGTCATCCTCACGGACCCCAGACCTCACACTGAGGGCATCAACGCTGCTCCTTCATAACAGGGACCCCGGGGCCTGGACGTCCTCTGCTTGAATGACCACGCTCCCCTCCCTGGAGGTCCAGGCACTCCACAGGGGCGGGAGGGGGACGGGCGACCTCAGGGGTCCTCGGGAGCCTGGTTCCCGCAAAGCTAAGGGCTCCGGTCCAGTGTCAAGCCCCCTGCCCCTCCCTGGCTGTGTGCCCTGGGACCAGTCCCTTCACCTCTCTGTGCCTCAGTTTTCCTTGTCTGTCAAGTGGGTTTCCTGAGGATGCCAAACTCTCAGGCTGCCAGGAGGCCTCGGTGACGTTGTCCAGCAGGAAGGGCCCACCAGTGACTGAGACCCAGGCAAAGCCCCGCCCCCGGGCCGCCCCCCCCCCGCCGGCGAGGCCACGCCCCTCCCGGGGCGCCCCCAGCACCCTCAGCCCTTCTCTCCCTTTTCCCACCCGCGCGAGCGCCAGGAACAATAACAGGGTAGGGGGTGATGGGGACCCCTCCCCCAAGATGCATCGCGAACCAGCCGGGTGACAGGCGGGAACAATGCCGCTTGCTAATTGTCGCAATTTTCCCCTGTCATTTTTGCTAATTCCTTCATTTTTCCTCTCACGGGATCAGCCTGGGTCAGACGGAGCCGCTGCAATTAACAGCGTTAATGGGCGCGTCGGGATGGGGGACATGGGGGAGGGCTCAGGGACCTACGCTTCCCCAAACGCTTCCCCAAACACCGGCCCTGATCCCTGGGCCGGGGACCCTGAGAGCCCGTCTCCGGGCTCTGACAGAGGCAGGCGTCTTAACGCCCCCAGCCTCCCCCAGAGCCCCCCACGCGCCTGCTGTCCGCCTCCCCCACCAGCAGCCCGACTTCTGGTCCCCAAAGTCAGCAGGTAAGCCCTTCACTCCCTCCAGACCGGCGCCCTCCCGGTCCGATGCCCGAAGCCCCCGTAGTTGCTCACTTGGCCAGCAATCCTGAACCTCTCATCCTAGTGAGCGGACACGCGGGCACTGACATCTGTCCCAGTTGGCATGAGACAGAGGGGGGTAGGGAGGGAGAATGAGGGCAGAAAGAGGGGGACTGAGGGGCAGAGAGAGGGAGACAGAGGGGCTGTGGGGGCACTGAGAAGCTGAGATAGGAGGGACCAAGGCACAGACTGGGGAAGACTGAGGGACAGACGGGGGGACCGTGGAAGGACAGATGGGGACCGTGGAAGGGGCAGAAAGGAGAGTCTCTGTGTGTCCATAGTCCTGAAGGGATTGGCTGAGCTGGGCCCTGCGGACCAGGGGCTGAGGGGAGGGCCCCCTCCTACCGTCAGGGGCCTTGCTCCCTCTGAGTGGCCGAGAATTTGGGGAGGGGTCCACGGTGGGCTCAGGGTCACTTCTGCCTGGACGTCCCTCCCTTCATCTCTGAAACGCGTCCAGTGACCAGAACACAGTGGAGCTCTTCCTCGCGTGGAGCGCCCAGTAGGCGCCTGACTGGAAAGAACGCTGACCGCAGCCCTGGCCGGCAGTGCTTCGCAGCGGCCTGGACCTCCTGTCTGTCGGTCACACACACTTCCGTCGTGAGCAGGTCCCACGGGCACCCACACCAAGTGACCTGAATCCCATCACCTCTCACAATCCCATCCCCCAGCCGGTCCGGCTTCCCCACCACCCACCAGGACCATTGCAGTCACCTCCCCGCGGGCTCCCTGAAGGCACTGCGGAGTCCCCGCCCGCCCAGGTCCTTCCCTGCCTGGCAGAGGTTCCAACCTGAGTCAGATTCTTGTTGTCTCTCTCTGCTCAGAGCAGGTGTGGCTCTTGCCTCACCTGGGCCCCCAGGCCTGCACAGCTCACCTGCAACCCCCCAAGTCCCCTCCACACACCCCGGCCTCCTCCTGGCTGGGTCCCGCCCTCAGCCAGCTGATTCCAGCCGCCCCAGGCCTTGGCCTGGTCTCCAGCCACCGCCCAGACAGCTTCCAGGCCTTCTCACAGCTGCCTCCTTGACACCTCAGCTCAAATGTCACCTCCTGAGAGAGGACATGGATGTGAGACCTCCTCCCCTCACCGGCTTCCACATTCCAGTCACCCACCTAAGATTTACTGTGCCTGAGGGACACACGAGGGTCAAGATAAATCCACGAACTAGACAGAATGTCAAAGGAGCCCTGGTGGCACGGTTAAGCGTTCAGCAGCTAACTGAAAGGTCTGCGATTCAAACCCACTCCGCGCCTTTGTGGCAGAAAGACCTGGCCACCTGCTCCTGCAAAGATGACACCTAGAAAACCCTACAGGGCAGTTCTCCTTCGTCCCAGGGGTTCGCTAGGAGTCAGAATCAATGCAGGGGCACCTAACCAGGACACAGAGAGACTAAGAGGCGGGAAAGGACCACAGGGTTCTGGGGGAGGGGAGGCTACCATATTAAATCTGAGCAGAGGCCCGTGGGAGAGCTGACTTTCTGAGGGCAGGCTGTGCCCCTGGAGGGCAGCGCACAGTGCACACAGCCTCTGATGGTCAAGCGCGCCAAGGACGGTGTGTTCCAGTGGGGGAAGGGTGGGGAGCTGAGAGACCCAGCAGCTGGGTTTAGGGAGGTGGGAGGGGGAGGGCCTGATGTGCAGGGGGTGTATGCCCCACGCCTCAGGCCAGGACTTCGTCTTTTCTCTGCTGCCTCCGCAGCACCTTACCACCCCTAGCCCAGAGATGGGGTTCACTGTGTGCTCACTGAATGAGAGCTTGCTGGCCGGATCTCAAGGCGTGTGTCCTCCCCAGAGCCAGGCTGAGGAAGTGATGCTGGAACCAGGCCACCTGAGTTGGAATCTCAGCTGCTGCCCCCCCCCCCCCCGGGCTGTGTGATCTTGGGCAAACAGCTTACCTCTCTGGGCCTCAGGTTGAGTGTCCATCGTAAGATTCTTGAGAAGCTTGAGTTAATTTTAATCCCTACAGTATGTAGGGAGTAAAAGGAGCCCTGGTGGCGCAGTGGTTAAAGTACTCAGCTGCAGACGGAAAGGTCAGACAGACCTAGCAATGCTCCCATTAATATACACAGCCTTGGAAACCCTATGGAGCAGTTCCACTCTGTCCTCTAGGGGCGCTGTGAGAGGAATCAATTACAGGGCAGTGGGTGTGGTTTGGGCTTTGCTTCCTTAAAGATTGACAGCCTTGGAGACCCTGTGGAGCAGTTCCACTCTGTCCTCTAGGGGCGCTGTGAGTCAAAATCAATTACAGGGCAGTGGGTGTGGTTTGGGCTTTGCTTCCTTAAAGACTGACAACCTTGGAGACCCTGTGGGGCAGTTCTACTCTGTCCTTTAGGCACAGCTGTAGATGAAAAACAGAGCCTAAGGGGATTAGTTTAAATAGCTGGATGACCTCTCACAGCCGCTAGGAGTTGGAATGACTCCTGGCAATGGGTTGGGGTTGTGGAGTGACTAGGACATGGGAGCCCCCTCCCCTCCAGAGTGTGGGAGGCACGGTGCTCTGCTTTCTGACTTCAGCCAAACCGAGGTACCCTCTGTGCCTCAGTTTCCTCATCTGAATTATGGAAGCGGGCACTTGGCTTCTTATTGGGGACCCTTATAGGGCCAGAAAAGCCCCCGATATTTCAATTGGGGCAGGCGTGGGAACACAGATAGCGCCCCCCACTGTCTGCCCCCACTTGGTGTCAGCGTACAGGCAGGGAGGTCACTGAAATTCGTGGTCTGCGGCCCCAGTGCTGTGACCCCAGCAAGCCCCAGCCCGTTTCTGAGCCTCGGATTGCCCATCCAGGCAATGGGGGTGCTGGGTGCCAGCGGGACCCTGTCAGTCCCCCCCTTGGAGCTCCCCTTCCCTCCCCTGAGCTTGGGGACAATAGACAAGATGTTTATCCCCCCGCCAGCACACATGTTGTTCCCGGTAATGACAGTAATCAGAGGCGCTAATGCTGCATTCTCCCAGCGCCAGTCAATTCGCCTAATTACCGCCTGGGAAGCCGGATTATTTAAATTTAAATGGTGATTTATTGCGAGTTTAATCAATGCTATTTTCTCTCCCCCCTCCTCCCTTGGGGCTGGGGCAGGAGGGGGACTGGAGCCCTTCCAACACCATGTTGAGGACACCCTCTTCTGGGGGCGTCAGGGGTAGCCCCAGGGACCCCTGTCCCTTTTACCTGTGATCTCTGCTTAACACGGTTCACGGGCCTCGAGTAATAACAATAAAGCAGCAAGACATACAGCAGACATAACTAACATAACACTCCTTATGTATTTTTTATAATAAAGTCTGAATAATAAGAATAAAATTAGATAGCCTATTATATGTATTTTACATATTCTGTGGAGTTCCTGGATGAACCAAATGGTTAATTTCCAGGCTTGGCTACTAACGGGAAGGTTACTGGTTGGAGTTTACCCAGAGGCGCTGTGGAAGAAAGGTCTGGTGGTCTATTCCCGAAGAGTTAGCCACTGAAAACGCTATGACGTGCAGTTCTAGTAACACACGCGGGGTCACCATGAGTTGTAATCACCTTCAACAACATATTACATATATTCAAAGACTAAAGACGTAAAATATTATGGCTTGTTTATTTTTCTATAGGCCCAAGCACTCAGAACAGTGCCGGATACACAGTAGATGCTCACTAAATGCTTCCTTCCAACAGCCCTGCAAGGTAACTATGGATACAATACCAGGAAACCAGTTGTCATGGAATCAACTCTTGTCTCAGGGCTTTTGGTTAGCAGCCCATCGACTAGGCCACACAGGGACTCCGAGGATAACAATAACCTTCTAGTCCTGACTGCATTACCCAAACACCACCTGTTGTTGACTCAGTGCCCCTAGAGGACAGAGAGGAACTGCCCCACAGGGTTTCTAAGGCTGTCAATCTTTACAGAAGCAAGGCCCAAAGCAAACTCACTGCCTGGTATCCATTCCGACTCACAGCGCCCCTAGAGGGCAGAGTGGAACTGCCCCACAGGGTTTCCAAGGCTGTCAATCTTCACAGAAGCAAAGCCCAAACCAAACCCACTGTCCTGGAGTCGATTCTGACTCACAGCGCCCCTAGAGGACAGAGTGGAACTGCACCACAGGGTTTCCAAGGCTGTCAATCTTCACAGAAGAAAAGCCCAAACTACACCCACTGCCCTGGAGTAGATTCTGACTCACAGCGCCCCTAGAGGACAGAGTGGAACTGCCTGGTAAGGTTTCCAAGGCTGTCAATCTTTACGGAAGCAGCTTGTCACATCTTTCTCCTAAGGAGTGGCTAGTGAGTTCAAACCGCTGACCTTCTGGTTAGCAGTGGGTGCTGTTTTACACACATTGCCTGGTTACATTTCTCCTCAGCCCTCTGGGGAGGTTTGGTCATTACTCCTATTTTATAAATACAGCACAGAGACATCACTCAACCTGCCTAGGGTCACAGTTCTGGGCAGTGCGTCCCTGGGGGTGGGGACTGGACACCCGGGCGTGTTTTCCTCAAGCTGTCCATCTTACCTGCCATATTATACTGTCTCCCTTCCCCTTAACTGGGAATACACAGTCCTGAGTCCTTGTGTGCCCTCTGGGGCCCTTCAGATCTGGGCGCGGGATCTCCAGCACACTGCGGCAGAGCCACCTTGGGCCCCCTTCTGTCCTGCCCACAGAACTGGGGCATCTCCTTGTGATAATAATTATTCACGGCCTCTAATAAAAATAATTGCATTTACTCGTGCTCTGAACCCTGGTGCGGCCAGGCCCTGGCTTAGGCCAAAATTCACAAAACCTTCCCAACTATTTATACCCATTTTCAAGATGGATAAATTGAGGCTTGGAGAACAGAAACTACCTGATAGGAACACACAAAAGATCCAGCTGACTTATCTCCTCTCGGTGGCGGAACTGGGGGACTCTTAAGCCTGGCTCCTGGGGGCTGGGGGGCTCCCGCGCATGCGCACTCACCCAGGCCGATGGGCGGCCCTGCGGCCCGCAGCCCCCAGGGCGGCGCTCCGAGCGCGGCGAAGCGGCGCAGGCGGAGGTAGGTGACGCTGAGGCGCACGATGGACGCCTTGTCCAGCTGGCTCGAGATGGCGCCGGGCAGCGGGAGCAGCTTGGCCAGCTCGAAAAACTCCAGGTTTTCCTTCCCGCGCCGGGAGCGCGCTGCGTTCCGGGACTTCTCTTTGCGCTGCGCCTGCAGGCTGGGCGGGCGGCGCGGAGGAGGCGTTAGCGGAGTCCGGGAGCGAAGGGGCGCGAGGCCAGGGGACGGGCCAGCTGCCTGGGGTCCCGGGAAGGGGACAGGAGGCTGGGAGTGAATCCTGTACCCTAGAGGTGGGGGCAGAACCTTGGGTGTAGACTGGGGAGGGGTCAGGTGTGAGAGATTAAGAACGCTGAGTATCAATTCTTTGGTTGGGGACTAGGAACAGACGGTAGAGGGATACCCAGTGTTGTTGGGTAACTCGGTAAGAAAGTCTAGCCCCAGCAGTGTTTGCACGGGGAGACAGCTCAGGGGGCATAGGAAAGGACACAGGGAAGTGGTAACTACAGGGAGGAAGTGGGAAGAGAGCTGTTGCATTGTGGGGAATGGCAGTCAATGTCATGAAACAAAACGTGTATGAACTTCTGTATGGAAAATGAATTTGCTCTGTAAACTTTCACCCAAATCACAATAAAAAAAAATAAAAATAAATAAAGAAATCAAAGAAATTCCAGCTTCAGGAGGCCTGGACAGAAAGTTGGGTGTGAATTCACTCCATGGGGGATGGGACACAAAACTAGGTGTGAATTAGGGGGACAGGGCAGAAAGATCTGTGTGAATTCTCTCAGGGGGTGGGGGCAGAAATCTAAGTGTGACCTCTCCCTGGGAGCGGGCTGGTTAGGCGTGAGCTCCCCCTGGCGGTGGGGCAGGAATCTTAAGTGTGACTTCTCCTCGCGAGGAGTGGGCCAGGAAACTAGATGTGAACTCGCCCTGGGGGCGGAGCCACAGCCCGAGTATCCGGGCTTTTTGCTTACCAGGGTCCGGGCGGTGCCTTGACCATGAGCCCGGGCAGAAAGTCCCACGGGACGCCGCCCTCACCTCCTGCCCGGCATTTGACCTCGCCGCCGCCCGCGCTGCTGGGATAGGGCGCCGCCATCTCCGACGGGGTGGCTCAGGCGGGCTCCGAACAGCCTGCGGGCCTCGCGATCCGCCGCTCCTGCAGCGGGAAGGAGCCGGAGCGGCGCTCAGTGCCGCTGGGGCCCCTGGATACTCTAACCTTCCAGGGAAACTGACGTCCCAGCGAGGCGCTGCGGCTGGGTGGTGCCTCAGTTTCCCCCTCCCTGGAGGCGCGGGGACGGAGCTCGCAGCTGCCACTCTGCCCAGCCTGGGCCGCCC